AAAGTCATAGAGATATATATATATATATACATATACATACTGTATATATATACATATATGTATATATATGGGTATATATGTAAGCACAGGAGAAGGATTTTATATATACATATACATATATACACATATATATATATTCCTGCTCCTATGGCTCACTGTCCCTTGCTTGGTTCATTTACCCAGTTTTAAAACATTAATATTAATTATTATTTTATATTATTAATATATTTGTTTATATCTATGTTTTTGATATTTAGATAGGGAGGGGGATTTTAATTTAATCATTAATTCATTAATAGTTTATTTCTGGGGGGTGGAATTTAATGGAGAAAAACCAATTGAGACATGGAGTGGGTCGACAAACATGCGCTGCTGCGAAACAGATTAAACTCGTATCTAGGGGGTCCACTGTATACTGTATAGTATATATGCTACAAACACACATTTATTCACAGCTTCACTCTGCATCTGTAGTGGAGAACAGAGAAGTTTGTCCACTCTTGTTGTACCGTCTGAGGCCTCGTCTCGTGTCATGGCTGCCATTGCCTTAAATACCAGTTTAACAGATGGAAATAGTGTGATTTTTTTTCTACATAAAACTAAAAGGCCAACTTGTCCGGTCTGTTCTGGTTTCCATCCCCGCCTGTGAATGTTGATGCTGGACATTGAGTCACCCCGGAGCTGGGCGACAGGCGGTAAACTGTCAGAGCAGAGCTGTGCAGTGGCATCAGTGACAGTCGGTCATTGTTCTTCGGAGGCTGACGGTGTCACAGCGTCAGTGCTGGGAGCAGACGCTCCGCAGATGCTGAACAGATAATAGAAGCTTTATCTCCAGATGTTCACTCTGTGAACCTCATTTGAATGTGCACACGAACAGGGAATACTGGGGAGAGTGCATCTCAGGTGAGCAGGAAGTTAACAATATAATATATATTTTTATTATGTTTTGTTTCTGCAGAAACACTAATATAAACTTTATAGTTATATAGTTGATGTCGTTATGTGATCTCTTGGACTGATTAGAGTGCAGATAGAGTGACCATCGGCACGTCACTAATCGACCTCAACATCTGATGCTACGTTCAGACGTTCAGACTGGACATCGCTTGTTGCTAAACTTTGATATTTTTCTGCGATATGATTTTTGGGATAAAACATTTTAAAAATCAGATAGGAGGCAGATGTGGGTAAAAACATCAGATTTTATTCACGTTCGCCTGCAGTACAAACGTTGCCTGTTACCTGCTGATATTTTAGCCATAATAGAAGTTATCTTACTGATGTAAGAATGTTGGTGAATTTGGTCAATTCTGATGATTTGTTTATCGCTTCCCGCCAATTTCAGAGCTGAAATGTACTGAAAAACATTTACACTCTGGTTTCACCTCCCCTCCTCAGCTTCACGTCCATTATTCATCCTCTAAAATGAAACAATTACCGCTAACAAGACACTGCCGTCACTGAAGACAAAAAGTTGGACGTTGGTTTCAGGACTACTGATGAGAAACATCCATTATTCCTGATGAATATTGAATTTGTGGCCAGAAAATGAATGCAGATGATGTAATGCTGCTGATCGGGCAACAACCAATCAAATGAAAGAATGACTCTGTCATGTCTGACTAATCGTTACCAAAGAACGGGCCAGAAGGCACAGATGAGTCACAGAGGGTTTGTTGTCAAGTGACCAAATAAATTTCCTTTTTTTTCTTAAGTGACACTTTGATCAAGTGGAGTTTATTAATAATTAATAGAATTCACCTGAACTAATTAATTTAAGTCATTTAGAGAGCAGGTCTAAACTCTATTGGGCTGAAGGCCACTGCTGCCACCATTGGGCCACATTAGTGTGTGATCATGGTGGTTCTCAAAATGGGGGGCATGGAGTTATTCTCTCGCATTAGTATTTTTTATATGTGCCAAACTGGGCAAAATGTACTATTTAGTTTTTTTTTTTCCTTTAGTCAGTGAAGAAAAAAAAACATTTTTAGAAATTACAGTGGAGGGCTTGACAATGGTCTACAAAAGGGGGCGCTGCAGAAACAGTTTGGGAACTGGATTACAGAAGGGCAATTTTTGGAAGAAACTGTAAGGTAGAAATGTGTTACATAATCCGACTGTCAGTTTTTGTGTCAAAATTGTGTGTAGTTAGAGTTCTGTGGTGCAGTAGCTTAAAAAAAACTTTAAAAAAAAAAATCAGTTTCTTGTTCTTGTTAAAAAGGGTCGGTCTGAATCTGTTCAGACCACAGTTTTAGCTACAACATCGAGGAGCCAACTCTGCTGGCTAATTATGATAATTCTTTTGTCGCAGTCTCCTGGCTCTCCTAAACAATTCACTGCAGGGTAACAGGCAGAGGACGGGGCTCACTAATGGATTTTGTTCATTCATAAACAAACGCGTGAAAATTGCTTTTTCCACTTGTTGGACCATTTATATTTAAATGAACCTCGTGGGATTCTGCTCTTGTGGAAACTCGAAGCAGAAGTGTTGTTTACATCGACACGGACGCAATTAGCATTTTGTTAATGTGAGTTGTATAAGCAAGTGAAGGGTTACAGGGATTTTTCTCAGTGGTGAAAACATTTACTAAAGTGTGTAACGTGTGTGTGTAGTTTGGCAACATGTGGGTGAAATAAAATATTTAAGGTCAAATTAGTTTGTTTGTACAAGAGGACGTTTGCAGCAGCACTGGCGCATAGACGTCAAAAGAGGGGTTTATGTTTGAAAACCAAATTAAGTTTTTGATTTTATATTATGAGTCTGGTTTTTTCGGGATCATACTCGACTTCAGAACAATGACGATTTTGGCTGGGCTTTGGTCAAAATGATGCTAATTCTGGCCAAATAAATACTGAAAAGCTAAAATAGGTCAGTATAATTAATATTCATAACCATAATTGTTCAATAAAACTGACATAATTCAGGATAACCCAGGATTTGATCTGTAAATATCAAGATTTTTGTCTGTAAAATATCAAAATATTGTTTAAACATGTCAATCATTAGTTCAGTAACTAGATGCAATATTTTAGTTTGTCCAATTTTTATGTGGTGCTTGCCTTCAATGTAACTGTTGTAGTTAAAAATCTAAAAAATCTAAAAATTAGTTCAGTAACTAGATGCAATATTTTATCCAAATTTGTCCAAATTTTGTGTGGTGCTTGCCTTCAATGTAACTATTGTAGTTAAAAATCTAAAAAAGAAAAAAAGAAGACTCAGATCTGTTAAAGGAAATCTTTCTGTGTGTCTTTCTTCAATTCCTGTGAGTATAACAGCGTCATCTTCAACTAGACAGGCATGTGTTGTTAGGTTTTGCTCCATGAAGATTTTCTAATGTATTCCTCTGTCTTTTTATCACATCGTTTCTTTTGGCGGATGGTGGATCGGTCGTCTTCATATTACTGAAGCTGATAGTCTAACAGTTGCACAAAATTCACTGAAGTCAGACACGCCGTCGGGGTTTAGAACTCAGCACAGATCGCTCTCGTCACCAGCTGCCTGCTCTCTAATGCATAATGCATCAGACTTTTATTGCAAGTCTGCAGGGAAACACAGCAGAGATTTACATTAATATTTCATCAAACTGCTGTGGCATCAAAGGAGCAATTCTGTGTAGCCTCCGTGTGTGTGTGTGTGAATGTGTGTGTGTGTCATTAATGAAGTAGACCCCAGTGTCAAGGGCCTGGCCTCTCTGTGTCAGGTGCAGAGTGGAAATAATGAGTTAAGTTCATTTAAACTCAAACTCCGAACAGGAAGACATAGAAACCTGGATAATAACTGACGAGCAAAGGTCAAGGGGTCAATGAGTAATGCGTGGAGACTCATGGGGTGAGCTTGTTTATTAGATAGAGAGTTCTGCTTTCTATTCCAGCTCCCTTTTATTGAATATTTTAATGATTTTCTATTTTAATGATCTCCTGGAAAATGAACAAAGAAAAAAAAAAGCAAAAACATTAAAATTCCTTCTATTACAGTTACTGATCCTTGTCTTCAGAGATGACAGCAACTGAATTACAGAATTACTGTATTTTCCGGACTATAAATTGGTCCAGAGTCGCACCAGCCAGCTAGAGTGCCCTCTAGCGGCTGTCGGTGTGAAAATAACGAACAAAAAATTACATTACATTACATACGGTATATTCATTATATTGGGTGTGTTACATAGGGCCCCATTGTCATATCCTTTTATGTGGCCCAGAATTCCTGTTAGCGCCCATGCCCATAAATATAAGGTTATCGCCCCCTTCAGGTCTTAAATGTCCGGCGTGACATCTGTGTAACCTTCTACACTCTGTATTCCTTTAGATGACAGTGCGTCAGCAGCCAGCAGCATGGACGTCACTGACCGCATCGCCTCCCTGGAGCAGAGGGTCCAAATGCAGGAGGACGAGATTCAGCTGCTGAAGTCGGCTCTGGCCGACGTGGTCCGCAGACTCAACCTATCAGAGGAGCAGCAGGCCATGGGGTCACGCAGAGGGCCGACCAAAGGTAACATGTAGCTTCATCAACATAGCTTCATTAAAAGTCATTTTGACATCTCCAGTTTCTATAGTTACAGGTCCAGTGTGTAGCAGCTGGGTGGCATGGATACAATTTAGCAAGTGTGTGTCACAGTGTGGAGGAGTTCATAGAAATGACAGGTTGTTTTTATAGCTCTGAAATGAACCTACTTTAGGAAAGAGTCTTGGTTCCACCGAGGCTGCGATCTCACACTGTCATGTTAATGCAGCAGTTGATGAAAGTTTTCTGTCCAACAATGTAAATCAATTATTCAGATGCAAAAACAGAAAGATTGGAAGTATGTTTACCGTTTGTTTCGGACTATAAGTCGCACTATTTTTTTCCATTCTTTGGCTGTGTGTGCGACTTATACTCAGGTGCGGCTTATATATTAAAATATATAATTTTACATTTGTTATTTTCACACTGACAGCCGCCAGGGGGCACTCTGGCTGGCTGGTTCGACTTATAGTCCAGATAATACGCTAATTGAGAAATACACGCTGTAGTGAGGAGTGGTGCACTGTGTGAGATTAGTACCAGAGGATGGAGAACGTACACAGTCACTATGGTACCCTCTGCTGAAATACCTGGAATTTTTTGACTGCAAAATGTGTAGGAGAGAACACTGTGGGGAGGACTGGGTTATTTCCCAGCATTTTATGCAAAAAAAGTTGAAAAAAGCTCAAGTTTGCGCATTCATTATACTGTACTTCAGCCTGGGAGCCAGCCAATCAAATTACATTCATGCAGATGCAGTTCCTGCTACAGAGAGTTTGAGGTGGATTTAATTTGGTCAGTGTCAGCCCGTTAGACCAGAGTCGTGGTTTCAAAACCTTTTTCTTCTGTTGCAGGTAGAACTATTTTATATAGTTTGTAGCTACTGCTTCAACAATCCACTGCTTATTACCGTTCAACAAAGGGAATTCAATTACAGCTCAGTGCGGTTTCCACAGCTATGGCACAAATTAAATGAAATTCATATGTCCTGCTGAGACCCCCGGGAATAACTCAACTTCCCTTGGAGGGGCCCGCCCCCCACTTTGGGAACCACATAATCAGTGAAACCTTCAAGTGACATAAATGTGTGAATGCGTCTCATTATTTCTCTCACACTGGACCTTCAGTGACCCACTTTCCATCTTGACCTCTCCCTGTCCTCGGCTGTCTCGGTGTCCACGCCCCGTCCCCTCCTCTCTGGGCCGTGTTATGTCGTTACGTGTGTTATGTTGTAAATGTGTCACATGTCCAGACCCTGCTTCGACGACAAAGTCTCCCTCAGCAGACAGCAGTGCTGTGAAGTCAGGTAGGCTGACTGTGCACTGTGTCTGCGCTAACCACAGCTGAACATTCCACTGACTGTTGTCTGTGCGCTGTTGTTTATCGTGTTGTATTTCACCAGCAGACAAACACTAACTGTCACTTTTACGGTCCCAAAGGTCAACACTGTGATCTGAGCACTGAGACGAGGAGTTGATTTAAACACTGTTGTAAATAACACACTGTGAATCTAACGGCTTTATGCTAACGGTGCGTTATTAGCGTTAATAGTTAACTATTCCAACATTGTGACAGTAAGCAGACACTCTCAGGATCAGTACCAGTTCCCTTATAGTCAAAAGAGCAGCTCGGGTTGGGAATCTAGTTTTAAACTTTTAATTTAAGTAATGTCCAGATGTTCTATAGGTTTCTGTAAAATCCCATTCACTCACTGTTAGCTTTTTCTTTGACTATCTTTTTCATTTTCTTCAATGTTTTTAACAAATTTGAGGTATTCTCATTTTAAGACTTACCAGTTTTGAATTTTTAACTTTTAAGACTTCCTGGGTTTAAATTTCACTTATGTTTAAGCAAGATTTAATACTTAATTTGCAAAATACTGCCTTTTTAATTTTACTTTTAGCCAGCTGTTAGCTAACGTTCATTGTACCTTTTTACCCTTCATTTTGCCTAGCCTTTAGCCTTAGCTCTGCCTGTATTTGCATTTTTGGCTTAACTTTAGTCAAACCATAGACAGATTCTAAGCCACTTATAACAATAACTAATAATTTTGACGAGCTTTGACGTACAGTGCTAATGAAAAGCTAACATGTTGAAATGAATGTGTTGATAAGTGCAGCGCTACTATCAGGTGTGCTATTAAACAAGCACAAGCATTTTTATGAAGTGAATAGCTTAAATCTGAACAAATCAAATCTGAACAGAACCCAAAACCTGTATAATTTTTTGCCTCATGCATGTTTGCCTTTTTAGGAACTCTATAATTTAATTTCTTTGAAATCACTGTGCTGTGCTACTGCTAATCCTTTTAAATCCTCTCCCTCCGGCTGGATGAAGTGTGCACATGTACTACACCCTGTGTCTCATCCCTGGGTCTTATGTTGACGAATGTGCATTTGATGCCTGAAACTTCTGCAGTGTTTGATTGGATGAGAGCTGCTGCCAGTTTGTGTTTCTGTGGATGGATTGACTTTTGTTTTGATGGTGGAGCTGGAGGCTGATGATTCACACCCTGAGCCGCTCTCAATCATTGTTTCTGCTCTTGTAGCTGCGGGGCAGCAGTGTGTATGAATACAGACACACATTCATCTTCTTTAACATGCTAACAAAATTACAAGCGCAATCTGCCCCTGCTGTGAAATGACTGTTTGAAAGATAACAGGGCATAACAAGGAGAGTGTGTGTGTGTGTATGAGAGAGAGAGAGAGAGAAAGTTTGTGATTGAGACTGTCTCTGTCTTGGAGGAAGTATTATCTATTGAAATTTAATCAGGTGAGACGAAGTTGCAGTGAGAATTTATTATTGTGACCCTGGACTAACTCTTGTTGCTAAATCCCATAGAGAGGTGAGAGTTAGGGCCTTGGACTGGTACGAGGCATTGGGTCATCTGAGGTTATTTTGTACCGAGCCACAAGAGAAAAAAAAAAATAAAAATAGAAATAACAAAATATATATATATATATATATATATATATGTATATATATATAATTGAGAACCACTGTAATAGATCAACATACTGGATTTACCTGAGTTTTCTTTTCTCAACCTTTGACCTTTCCAGCCAGACCAATGATGGCCACTCTGCCATTAAGACCCTCAGTGAACAACGGGACGGTCCTACCAAAGAAAGGCACTCTGCCCTCTCCGTCTGGACCTGGATCCAGAAAGGACACCAGCACTCTGACTAACAAGAGGTGAGCACGCTGAAAACATCACATGGTATAAATAAAACAAAATAACTCAAAGCCACCAGTTCCTGATGATGCACCTGGTTTTATGTTCCTGCCATAAATCATCACACGTGGCTTTTCATTGGTCAGCAGTGACATGAAACACAGTGGATTAGCAGAGAAACAGTTTGTGTTCATACATGTATGTCTGGCACATGTTATCAATCTCCCCTATCACTGCCAACACATTACCATATTCAGATCAAGCAGAGCAGACAGCAGGGATCTGCCCCAGCCTGAAGTTGTCTCTCCTCGTGTTCTCTCCAAGTTTTTTATTTATGTCTCTAAGGATGGTTACCCAACGACAGGATAAATAATTCTCTACTTAAGAACGCAGCGGAGAAAACTCCCAACAGCTTCAGATGTGGACAGATTGTGGCGGTTTAAAATAAAAGTGTTTTCTAATGGGAGTAGCATCATTGATGCCGTCGCTGCGACATGTTTGTGAATGAGGTTGTTGTTGTTGCAGAGTAACAGAGTCTCAGTGGAGAAGTACTGATGTCACGTGACCAAGTTTACACAGCGCTCACACATTTATCCTGCATTTGTGTTGTTGACAATGAAGGTCAGTGGAAACATACATGTAAGGCAAGTGTGGTGTGTGCGAACTGCCACTAGGGGGTCTGCAGTTTGAAGTGAAGATGTGTAAATAAATATTTTATTATATATAATATGTGAAACAAATGCAGGCTATATATGGATATATATTATATATTTATATAATATTTTATACATATTTATATATGTATGTGTATGTATATCTATGTATGTATGTGTGTGTGTTCTGGGCATTTAAGTATGCTTAAACATACTGTCTTTATAAGAACACTAGTTGCGATATATATATATTTAATATTTTTATATTGTTTGAATTGGGTGTGTGTCAACCTCTTTGAGATAGAGGAGGTCGCGCATGGTCAAAAATGTTTGGGAAAGTTTGGGAAAGTTGCCGAAGAAAAAGTTGCAAAGGCAATCTAATAAAAGTGTGTAACACATAGCCGGTCACAGAAGTAAAGCAGTGGTGGTGTGTGCAGGCCGAGGTACAGATGGGTTCTGGGTAGGAGTGGATTTATCAGAGATCAACTTCAAGGCTCATCCGTCATCAGATGCGTTAAGAACCAGCGTTAAACAAATGTCAACTTCTGAGCTCGGCTCGTTTGTTTGTCCCAACCATTCCTGTCCTGTAAGTCTGAGTGAAACTTGTGCTTCCTGTTGTGATGTAACATCCTGTTTATGTCCTGTCCATCTACTCTGTGATGTCCAGTTTGTCCAGGTTGTCCTATATGTCTCAAACCTCCACATTTCTCTATCTGCCCCTCAGGTGAGAGCGACAGCCACCATCAGTGTTAACTCACAGTAACATCATCCTCATCCATGACATCTGTCACTGGAAGACAAACACATTTTAATATATTTACTTCATCTGGTTAAATCACTTAATTCTATTAATGTGGTTGATTTCCGGTTCTGTCTACGTGGGTGGAAAAAGTTGTTAAATTCAAAATTGTCACTAAAATAACTTGAAACTGACAAATGTAACAATAAACAAAAATTCAATAAAAATTAACAATTGAAAGTCAAATGTTGCTTCTTAACCCTAGTTCAACAGAATTATTTTTAAAAACAAAAAATATGATTTTATTTTCTATTTTCTAGTCATTTATTGTTTTTTTTTGTTTTATTTTAGTTAGTTATTTAAACTTTTTTTTCCTTTTTTTTTTCCACGTGTGCGTCAGCTGATTGTGTGTATCTGTGATTAGTGCCAACAACAGATTAGTAACAAACACATTAGTGCCGACATACGCACAACAGACTCCCCTAATACCCAGTGGCCCAATTACTGTGTTTCCTCATGGGACACCACAGCAAACAACAGTCTCCCTCTCTCTCTCTGCCCCCCCCGCCCCCCTCCCTTTTATCCTCTCTGGTACATATCTGATGCCCGTCCTGCGGGGCTCACTGCCAGTGGACACTGTTTGGACGTGAATAGACTTCCCTCCCTCAGGGTGGATTAGCTGACGGTGCCCACTGGCCACTGAAGTGCTGATGGAGCGTTTTCATTGTTGTGAATTGGCAGACAGTCCCTTGCACCGTTATGCAGATCAGCGCTGGTCTGCTCTACACTGAACCCTGTGTTGGTAAACAGAGGATGAAGCAGTCATGTGGACAGTGTTTTCTTTTCCCACTCACACAGCCGTAGTCGTAGGTAACGCCGTGTTATGACACGTCTGATGTCAATCATCAAACAGGAATATCTTCCCTCAGAGCATTTTTAAAAATAAGTTTTTTTGGATTTTAAAAGAAAAGCGGAGTCAGGTTGTTTTATGACCTGCTTTTTCTGCCTCTTCCCCTCCTCTCTCTCTCTCCCTCTCTCCCTTCCTCCCTCTCTCAGCAGCACTGTGAGGAGAGCCAACTCAAACGAACACGTGGGAACACTGTCAAGGAAAGATTCAGGAGACTCCAAGGGAAACAGGACTCGAGCCGGGTCGACGGGCAGCAACTCCAGTGGAAAGAGAAGTGACAGGTAACACGGACATAACTGCCCTAATGATGATTGGATTTTTCCCGTTCGGTGCCAAACACCAGCTCCGACACAGTCGATGTAGCTTGACTCATTCAAAAAAAAAAAAAAGAAAACAGCATAAATGACTTTCATATGAGCAGATTTGGTTGGTTCTGAGTGAGACTGACAGTGTGTGTGTTTTTACTCATTTACTCTGCAGCAAACAGAGGGATCCAGTGTTTAACGCAGGTAAGAACCAGTGGTCTTCATCAGCAGGCCCTGCAGCTGTGATATAAAACAACACACTCAGAGCCATCTCTCACTCACACACACACACACACACACAGAAATGAACATAGCTAAGTATTTAAAGACAAATTTGTGCATTTTTCGAGAAACATTTTTTTTGGAGATTTTTTCAGGAACTTATTGGTGTAGTATTTTACTGTGATCAAAAGTAAACCTACCAAAAAAAAGTATATTTCTCTGACTTTTAACCACAAAATGGACACAGTGTCACGTGTAGACATGGCAGGCAGGACCCTAATGCAGTCGCAGAGAGACTTTTCAGGTGCAGCAGGTTTATTCATACAAAGACAAAAACAACAAAAACTCCCTTCATCACATAAACCAGATGAGGCATGAACTACAAAGTACAAACTAGGAACTCAAAGCATGGACCACACACACACACACACACACACACACACAGTCACTGTTGGACATGTGTTTGGGATTATTGTTGAATAAATGTCAAGTGTAATCCATCCTTTATCATGATCCATCCTTTAACCACTCACTTTGTCACGTGGTCTGTAACCAAGACACCCTAACATCCTGTAATATCCTCTGTTTTTTGTCTCTATTCCTTCAATTACATTTTTAATTATGTATTTATTTTTTGCTCTAAGTAAATCTATGGCTGATTCACGACAAATAAGAACAGGATGTCCCGGTCCTTGGGTTGGAACCAAATACAGTCATATTTAAGAATGGTGATTTCTCTTAATTAATCATGATTAATTGTGATTATCTATGACCATGATGAATCCTGATAAATGTGAATCAATATTAATCTGAGTAAATAGTCATACAAATCTCACCTGCATTTGTGCCATTCAGCATTTTTAAATATCCTGCTCAAATTCCTTTCGTTTGCAAAAAATGTCATTCATCTCCAAACACTTTTCTCTGACAAGAAGAAAGTCTCGTTATATTTTTTTTTTTTATTCGATCTAAAAATCATTAAAGAAGGCGGTGACACAGACTGAAATCAGACCAGTATTGACGAGAGTTCCCGACTCCAGTCTGCTATTGATTTTTGTGAAAATGGAACTGTCTCCACACCTGGTTCCTTCTGACACCAGTCACTGTCTGGTCTGGTTCAATTATTGAAGATGTAAAAAAAGTCACTCACTGATCTGAGTCTTTAAGGAGGATATTTTTGAAATTGTAATAATTGCCATATTGTTCAAATATATCATAATATATCAAATATATGTATAAGGGCAGGCCACGCACATAAAAACACACAATACATTTGCTTATATATGTGTATATATAATATAAATATAAAAAACCCTTATTTTTCACTTCTATTTTTATAATTTTATATATAATTAATTTAAATAGAAAAGAACAAAAATACCGTTCATACTAATTTAAAAATATATATATAGTATTCCTTGTGTGTGGCCCAGTATCACATGATCTTTGGCCCGGTACGGGTCCTCGACCCAGTGGTTGGTGTATCCTCTTGTCTAAAATGACATTATCAATCTAGGTTTGTTTGCAAAGTCAAATGTCATTTTTTATACTTTCATACAACAACATACTCGTCTAAGTCACCAGAAAAGTACATTTCCACGTATAATCACACAGACAGTCAGACGACCTGCGTCCATTCTTTTATAACCATGAGGCCTCAGGACTCAGGACAAACCAGAGGTTGAGCAGCCATGACTCTCCTCACCTTCCTCACCTGGTGCTTGTGTGTTTTTTTCTGTGAACTCTAAAAGGGATGCGACGTGTGACCCACTGCAAAGGTAGGACCCCCCCCCCCACTCCCACTCCTCTGACGCCCCACGACCTCCTCAGCTCTCTGATCACTGCTAATCATTTTTTAACAAGTTATTACTCTTATTCTTCTTTTTTTCTTTTATTTCCACATCAACTTTTTTTTTAAAATAATTTTGCATTATTTCCATCAGTGTGATGATCAGAGAGCTGTTCAGACTGGGGCAGGAGTGTGTTCAAGAAGTGTGTGTGTGTGTGTGTGTGTGTTTGATAGTTGGCCTCCCCTTAACTGTTTTGATATTGAACTAACATAAACACACACACACACTGTCCAACTAACCTGCACCGACCGCAGCCTCAGAGTGTGTTTGCAGTGTTTGCAGTTCACTTGTGTGTCTCCACACATGCTGATCCGCCGTGGACGAGGCCGCGGCTTCGTCAGACGTGTGTCTGTTTGCCTACAGCCTCACTTTAGTCGCCACAGTAACCACACAAAGATTCTCAACACTCACTTTCTTCGAGGCACTCGCAGTTTGCAGCTCTGAACTTTCCTGCTCGGATACTGAGAGAGGAGCTTTGCCGCTGCCTTTAATTATCGTCCTTGGTTCCAGACAAACACACGCAGTACTCTTTTTCTAAAGAGGGTACTTAATTTTTTTTTTTGGCCTGTAGTTTTCCCACGCAGCTCAGAGCTTCATCTTTTTGTGTAGTTCTGTACTGCCCGTAGTCCTGAGTGTTCTTAGAGCTGTGACTGCAGGCTCACTTGTGTCTAGTGTTGATGTTCACTCAGTTTTCTCACTGGGATTTTTACCCACCTGGATCATTAGGAAATACTTCAATGATAATGTCAGCATTGAGGGCCAGTGGTGCTCTGTCCCTTTAAGGAACATGTGTTCGTATCAGTGTCCTTAAATATTGTAGTCACTAATTGAAAAAGAAGAGTCTTTATGTAAATAAGGATGTGCTGCAGCTATTGGACTGTTTAAATATTTTAAAGATTATATCTATATATATGTGTATATATATACATGTATGTGTGTATATATATCTATATATACAGTATATACACATGTATATATATACGTTATATATGTGTGTGTGTGTGTGTGTGTGTGTATATATATATATATATAATATATACATATTATGATGTGCCGTTAAGGAAATGAATCCTTGAATATATTGAATGAAACGCAAAATTAGTTATGGTATTTTACTTGAAATACAAGATGGCGGCAGCTTTGAAGATGTCAAGTTTCATTCAATATATTTAAATTTTAATTCAATATATATAAAGTTTCATTTAATATATTCAAATATTACTTTCTTGAACGGCATGCCATAATACACATATACAGATACATACATATATATGTGTATATATACGTATATATATATAGGCAAGGGATTACACTAAATAGATTTGTGTTTTCTTTAGTATTTTTTCAATAAAAGTTTGTATTTCATTATTATATATATTTTTATATTATTATTTATATATTCCTTTATTACCCATTTAAAAATAAATACAAATAAAAGCTAATTCAGATAATGGAGAGAGAGACCTGACCCAGACAACTATCTGCTCTGATTGGCCAAAATTTGAGGGTCAAACAGCAAAAACATTTTTTCTATAATAATAATAAAAAAAACCTCTCCGGATCTTTACATGTTTGAACCTTCTTCCTGCTTCCTTCTCCCCTCTGACTGGTCCCCACACCTTCTCCACCTCCTGCTCTTTTCTCCACCTGCATCATAGTCACCGTACAGATTAACCTCGGCCGCTCGGCCAAACAAACCAGGATGGGCACAGCTGCAACTGTTGGTTCGGCTTCCAGCACCAAACCAACTTCAGAAAGCTCTAAAGTTGGGGCAGTGAGAAGAGGTGGGACCAACAAGGTTCCACCAATCAGAAAACCCCCGGGTGTGAACCTCCAGTTGAGGAAGTCGGGGAGTTTTTCCTGCTACTCTCCTCTTGACACCCCCACCCAATACAGCCCCAGTAAATCTCCCAGTCATTATTTCCAAATCTGTTACTAGTTTAGGCCATACATACAAAGAAGTACAAAAACGTAAATTCTACGCTTTGTAGAATCCCCCAGTAAATAATTCAACTAAAAACATAGTTAACTGTAATTTTTTTCTTCAAATGAACTTCAAAATACTCTTCAAGTTCAGGTTGTGTGTTTCGCACTTGCATGATGTTTATTTTCACTGGTAGCATGTGTTTAATTCATGAGTTTTTTCTCATTAGCTTTTTCCACTGGTAGCATGTGTTTAATTCATGAGCTTTTTCTCATTAGCTTTTTCTCGATTTATCAAAGCTTGAATTTGTTTTTGTTTTTTTGCTTGAGTCAGCACTTTATGTCAGTTTAACCTCTGTTGTGATCTGAATATTTACGAGTTGAGGAAGTTTCTGAAGAAGTATTTTTTTTCCATAAAGTATTTAATTCTGTGTTTTCTGTCCAAAGTATGTGTCTGAGTTGACTAATAAACATCAACCAGAAAATCTCATTTGTCTGTTCAAAGTCATTGTGTTCTAATCCCATTATCAACATCACTAACAACATCACTCTCTTCTCTCTCTGCCAAAGACAAAAATCAACAACACTCGTGTTTATTTAAGTATTTAATATTTGTATTGATCTCTTTTTTTTCTGCTCTTTTTAGAGGAAGGTTATGTCAAAATGTTTTTGAAGGGTCGTCCCATCACCATGTTCATGCCCAGGGACCAAGTGGACGGCTACTGCCTGGAGGCCAGAGCTGAGCTGCCCAGCAACAAACTCAAGCTGGACTGGGTGTATCCTTTCACTGTGTGTGAATTTGAATTTGAATTCAAGTGGAGATATTTCAGAGGGATTTTTGTCCTGAGCTCCGGCTAACTCCGGACCCTGCTGTAAAAACATCATAGATATGAACCTGCAGCCTGTGGCTGCACAGATTTCAAACTGTCATCTAGAAGCTTCTGCCAGGTGTATGTATTTTTGTCTCATACAGTATGTGGGTGTTCTTCACTTCAACAGAAATTCAGTAACAGTAAGAAAATAATAGTCCAAGAAACAGATACAATCTGAGGTAGAATATTCTCGCTGTCGCTCGCCACAAACAGGCACTGATGAAAAGAGACGTGGGCTGAGATTAATGTGAAGAGTCAATGTGTTGAAATGACAAAGGTTAACAAGGTGCAAAAGTTCACGTTGAAATGACAAAGGTTAACAAGGTGCGAAATGCAAAAGTTCATGTCGAGTCGCGGTGAGGAGATCAAGCATCAAGCGAGTCGAAATACAAAGAAGCAGTCAGAACAAAACTGAGACACAAAATCATAAAGACAGGGTCAAAGGTCAAAACAGGCAAAAGACCATACACAGTGGTGGTCACTGGGATGTTAGGTAGAATAAAGGCTGGTTCTGTAAAGTGTACAAACTGGCATTGGAAAAAGGTGGGGGGTGAAAGGCGTGTGAAGACACTATAAAGAAAGAGTGGGAATTGAACTGGTAATCTTTATGCTGTAAGGCAGTGGACAATACTGAGAGATGCTATGATGCATGAGCCAATCTGCAAAATATTTTTGCTGTTACATTTTTTTAGGTTATAAAATGTTTTGTATCATGAAAATAATGAAAATATTGGAAATTAAAAAAGAAAATTCGCGTAAAAAAATGCGATATAGCGAAATTTCCACAGAGCGGATTAAAAAATCTGCGATGTACTGCGGGAGCGAAAGGAGAACCACAATATAGAGAAGAACACTGTATTTTTATCTGTACAAACCACTGTATGAGTTGCTGCCACCTAGTGGCTGGAGGCTTGTTATCATTCAAGCATTGTGGCACAGTGGTACATTTATGTCCAGTGTGCCATATTCCATTGGAAGCCTCTCACCTCACCACGCCCCCCACAGGGGCCCGCCCCACTATTTGAGTAGTACTGCTGTAAGGCAAGAGCACTGCCCACTCCTTCAACATGTGGTTCAATCCACAAATAATTATCTTTTTAATATTTACTGACCCTGCTTCACCTTCAGTCCAGTTTTTGTTTCATTCCCTGACCCCGCTGACCTCCAGCTACGGATACCGCGGTCGAGACTGTCGCTCCAACCTTTACCTTCTACCCACTGGAGAAACCGTGTACTTCATCGCCTCAGTGGTCGTCCTGTACAACGTGGACGAGCAGCTGCAGAGACACTACACCGGACACACAGATGACATCAAATGGTAAAAAAAAAAAAACCCAAACAAATCACATGTGTCTGAAATCACAGTTTCACAGGCGTCTGTCACAGACACACACTCACTTCACACAGCAGTAATGAATGAGGAGAGAACCTCATGCTCTGCTGCTCAGTTGATCACATCACTGCTGTGTGTGATTACATGCTGAGGTCAGCAAACGTTCAGGACTAATCAGCATATCGCAGATTAGAGGATGGATTAAACCAGAGGTCACACCTGGAAAGGTCAAGTGTTGGCTTCACACAAGTGTTTATCAGTGGAGTTTTGTACTGAAATGTACATCTGAGTATTTCATTGAGTGAAACTCCTCTTGGTTAACAAACCATCTCGATATGGACACATTCACAGCTATTGTTTCATAATTCAATTCAAAACACTGAAATTCCTTAAAACTGGTGATGAATGTAGTAACCTTCTGATTTTTTTTAATATCTTAGTACTAATTACTTTGCCTTGCAGTACCCCAAACCCAACAATAGGTCTGCATCTTCGAAGGGTACATGCCCCCTACTTTGGGGACCACTGCTTTAGCTGACTCAGAGCAGTGCTGTATCCATACTGATTACCATAGTTACTAAACGTGGCCTTGCTCATCTTTATTCAAATGGTTTTTTTATTGATGTTGAAATGGACCTTTAAAGTCTTTCATTCCATTTATTGATGTTGAAATGGACCTTTAAAGGCTTTCATGTCCATTTTTCCCCCAGCCTGGCCGTCCACCCTGATAAAATCACCATAGCAACCGGGCAGGTGGCGGGAACCTCTTCAGATGGAAAAGTAAGTGATGTCTCTCCTCGTCTTCCAGCTCCTGAGTGATTACTGCGTCAGTGTCTGTGATGTTCACTCAGGGATGTCAGAGGTTCTGCTCAATGACCAGAGTGATCAGTGAAACACTGAGTTCAATCAGATTCAGTGAATTATGTGCACTTGAGAGCAACTCTGTTTTATACTTCTTGGCAAAAAATCATTTTGTCTCGAAATAAACTTTATAAAAGAAACACATAAACAGGAGAACGTGAGGTATATCTTGAGTTTATTTTTCATGAAATAATAAAGTCAATAACAAATGTTTTAGTTCCAGAAAGTGCTTTTGCTTTACTTTTGTTTTATCGTTGTATCTTTGTGTTTTGATCTGTAAATTATTTTGAAATCACAGCAAACATCAGATTTTATAACATTTTTACTAACTTAAATAACCTTAACAAATTATTTAAGCTCTAAAACAGATTTTGACTAAGCTCCAGCTATTTGAAATTCCGAAAACCCAAAGTTTTAATTCGCAAATAACAAATAAATAAATAAGAGATATAGCTTTTTTATTTTCATTTTTTCAACAGGGTATAAACATATACACTATACTACTATGCACTATAGTGTTTATGAACTGAAGTAATTAATAGAAAGAATTGCTCAGTGCAGTATGGGATCTTCTTCAGCGGTCTAGGCCTATAACACCATATCTAAGGGAATGTCTCTGTAATGAGTCGCTTTGTCAAAATGAAAAAGTTTCAAGTCTCTGTATCCTCTAATAGTTGTACTGATGACTTGGTGTGCCTCCTGGTGTGGTATTAGTGCTGTTTATGGTTTTTTTTTACAGCATCTTGCTCCTCATGTTCGTATTTGGGACTCCGTCAGCCTCAACACCCTCCATGTTCTGGGTTCAGGCTTCTTTGACCGAGGTCTGGTCTGTCTGTCTTTCTCCAAGTCGGTAAGAAAAATCCTGAGGTGATTTTTGACTTAGCGTCTGTCATTTTTGACACTGTTTAAGTTGATTACTGTATGATTTTCCTCTATGTGAGAATGGAGGAAACTGGCTGTGTGTTGTAGACGACTCCAACGATCATACGCTTTCCGTTTGGGATTGGCAAAGAGAAGAGCGAATGGCTGAGGTTAAGGTATGACGCAGGTTTTCTGGTTCTAAAAAAAACATACCAATGAAATTTATACTGTGAAAAAAATATAAAAATAATTTCCAACTCGTTGACAACTGAACTAATGTCTTGTGTTTCAGTGCTCTAATGAGTCAGTGTTCGCTGCAGACTTTCACCCAACAGACAGTAACATCGTTGTCACCTGTGGCAAGTCTCATCTCTATTTCTGGAACCTGGAGAAAGGAATGCTGGTCAAAAAGCAAGGCCTGTTCGAGGTGAGTCGATTACTGCTTTCCATATAGTACTATAATAAAGTTTGAATTTTACATTTTCTCATTGTGAAAGACTGGGTTGCGATGTAATTCCATACCTAGTTATATATAAACATGTATGCTCTGGTCTTGCAGAAACAGGAGAAGCCTAAGTTTGTGTTGTGTGTGACCTTTGCGGAAAATGGAGACGCTATAACTGGAGACTCCAGTGGGAACATCCTGGTGTGGGGAAAAGGTACATCACACACTGTTCCTCATGTCACTGATGCTGTTTCTGTTGGATACAATATGAGGAAAAGTACAAAAAATATATATATATATTAATATAAAATGCTATGTCTTCCTGTTAAAATGACATGTATTACACTAATATTTGATACTACTATGGTTCCTTATACTGAAGGCAAACAATCCCAAAGCCTGATGCTACCACTGACATTCTGCACTGTAAGAGTCTGCTGTTCTTTCTGTGCAGTAATGTCCTTGCACCAGTTTCAATATTTTTAGATTTAGCACTAAAAATATCAAACTTTAGACCCATTAAACTACATATTTTCTAACATACTCTAGGACCTATGCAGTTTTTTGTGAAGTTCAGTTGGACATTCTTTCCATTAAGTTGTTTATCTCCACTTTCTTCAACTGACCATGTTACATAACGTTTTTGTTTCACAATCTTTTCCAAATTGAAACATTGTATCGTTCAACATCATATTGTATCTGTTGTATCATAACGTATGTATTGTGTTGTATCATGTCACATCGGATGACGTCATATCGCACCACCTCGTATTATATCACATTGTATCGCATCACGTCGTATCGTATCGCATTGAATCATATCTCATGGTAACACATTGCATTGTGTTGTTTCATGTTTGTATTCTATTGTATCGGTTCATATTATTAAAAGAGTTAAAAAAAGATCTGTTTACAAAAAAATATTGTTTGCCCAAAAACCCAATAATTTCCCTTTGCGTCGAAAATGTTAGACAATAAGAAATCACCAAGGACAGAATAAGTAACTGTTATTCTGAGAAGAAAACCAGCATCTCAGGTTCATCTACTGATCACCCCACGGTGGTTTGTCTTCTCTCTTCCGACCTTTGTGTCCGCCTGATCATTCCCAACTGTCTCACCCCATCTCTGTCATTCAGGGACTAATCGTATCAGCCACGTCATTCCGGGGGCTCATGAGGGCAGCATCTTTGCCCTCAGCATGTTGAGGAACGGAACGCTGGTTTCCGGAGGTAAAGATCGCAGACTAATTTCCTGGGACGGAAGCTACCAACAGATACAAACAGTGGAGGTGAGAAAAAATTGAAAAGAAGAATCACGAAAACTCTATTCTACTCCACTCTCTCTGTTTAAGCAGGAGTATGAAGGACATTTTTAAGATGAGCTAGCTTAGCTTGTTGTTGTCAAACACTGGATTTCAGGTAAACAGCTTCATTACACGACCACTGTTTTATGTCCACAGGTGCCAGAGCTGTTTGGTCCCATCAGGACTATAGCAGAGGGCAGAGGGGAGACAGTGATAATCGGTACTACCAAGAACTTTGTCCTGCGAGGCAGTTTGGAGGGAGAGTTTGTGCCTATTACACAGGTGGGTGCAAACATATTACTGTATGTTGGAATTTTCCCTGAAATAAATGACCTTGTCTTTGTGATAAAGTCTGGACAACTTAGGACAATTTTATAGTTTAAAGCTAAAGAACGCTGATTAACACAATGACCAAATATAAATATGTCTCTTTCTTCCTACACAATGACCAAATATAAATATGTCTCCTCTTTCTTCCCGTCTTCTCTCCAGGGACATACTGATGAACTGTGGGGTCTGGCTGTTCATCCAATGAAGCCCCAGTTCCTCACCTGTGGGTATGACAGGCAGGTCAGCCTGTGGCACTCCACTACACATGAGCTCATCTGGACCAAGAACATGGAGGTATTATAATGGAACAACACTGCCCCCTATGGTCAGTTAAGGGCAATACATATCTGCTAACAAATTAAATGCTCCTGCAGTTGCGTATGTCGATTGATGTAAGTAATTCACGTTGGTTTTGGAAGATAGAAAAATTAAAGGTTTATCGTCACCTAGTGTTCTCCAATATAATATATATATTTTTTGGTAAGTAATTCACGTTGGTTTTGGAAGATTAAAAGTTCATCGTCATCTACCCTAGTGTTTTACAATATAAAATATATATATTTTTTGTTATAATAGGATGCTGCCCAATCAGCAGGTTTCCATCCAAGTGGAGCTGTCGTTGCCATTGGAACACAGACAGGACGGTAAAGTTTACATCAGATAAAATCTCTTGGTTCAAACCAGTTTCGGATTTTTTTTAGAAGTCACAGCAAATAGTTTGTTTGTGATACAGGTCTAAACCAATTAGAGTCTGTTTCTGACTGTACAGGTGGCTGGTGTTGGATACGGACTCCAAGGATTTAGTGACGGTTCACACAGATGGGAACGAACAGCTGTCTGTCGTGCGCTACAGCCCAGGTATCGAAATAAAAGCTGACTGTGTCTTGTCTGCTGTTTTATTGCCGCACCAATTTTAAAACTATTTAGTTATTGCCGCACCAATTTTAAAACTATTAAGAAAAAGGTTAAATAATGCTTCAGTGTTTGTTTGTTTGTTTGTTTAAAATATCATATGTCATTTTAACTTGGCTATTTTCACCTCTCACTTTTCTAATGCACGTCTATAGTTACGCTTGTTAGCACTAACCTAGCCTAGCCGCTAGGTTTCACCTGAGGCCCTGGCTCTTAGTAAGTAGTACTAAGCTAGGCCAACGTATTTTAGACCTCGGAAATGTATGTATTGAAATATATTTATTATATCCACTCTCTGAATGCACAACAAATATGCAAATACATGCTGTGTTTTGTGAGTCATGGAACTGGAATTTTATATGCAGACCTGGCACCATTTTGACACAGGGCACTAAAGTGACCTTACAATGTTAGCAAACACAGAACAACAAAACAATAGCACAAAATTGTAAATTAAAATTTGAGTAGTTTAAGTAATTTTATTACTTACTGAGATGACCAGGAATATTGGAATATGTTGGGTTTTAAACCTGTGATAAGAATTACAAAAAAAGTTTCTGTTTGTTTGCTTACTAATATTATAACTTTTTTATTAGATGGGAACTTCCTGGCCATTGGCTCCCACGACAACTACATCTACATCTACGCTGTGACTGAGAGTGGGAGGAAGTACAGCCGAATGGGGAAGTGCTCGGTGAGCACCTGCGATTATTTTTCCACCACGTCTACTTTATTTTTAATTTCCCTTCACATTTCTGTTATATTTAGTTTCCTCCTCAGTGTTATTTTAGCTTTTGTACACTGCACACTCTCAGTGCAGTGAGGCTGATGGGAAGGCTTTAAAATAATAAATAAGAATAAGCTGAATAATTGTTGAGGTATCCTGTTGTATCAGCATTTATAGAATTATGCCTGAGTAGACATTATCTCTTCTAGTGATTCAGCAGATTGTGTCTATTTCTAAACAAAAATGAAACTAACATGTTTGAAATATGTCTAATCTCAGGGTCACTCTAGTTTCATCACCCACCTGGACTGGTCAGTGGACTCCCAGTACCTGGTATCCAATTCAGGAGACTATGAGATACTGTACTGTAAGTATTACTACAGTTATCCTTTAATTGTCTGTCTATGTTGATATCTGTTTCTGTGAGTGAATGCAAACAAGTCACATGTAACACATCAGTTCTCATTTTAAAAGATGTGGAAAAAGGTTTGGTTGTATTTTTTTTTTTTTAAGTAAGGTCTTAAGGGCCGTACACATAGTTAAATATGGTAAAGTAGAAGATGCTGAGATAGACCAGAATGGAGAAAACTAGATGCAAAAATGCTAAGAGCAATCAGTCTGGAGATGGGGTTGGAGAACCAAGGAGACCAACTCCCCCAAGGAGAGTTAGGTCACCCAGTTGGAAAAGACCAGGACCCTAATAGGTTCTTCTTCAGTTAATCTGAACTGTGCATGACAAAAAATGCATCTTTGGTGTCTATATTTTCAGGGATCCCATCAGTATGCAAACAGGTGGTGAGTGTGGAGACCACCAGAGATCTTGAGTGGGCCACATACACTTGCACTCTGGGCTTCCAAGTCTTTGGTGGGTTCTTCATCTCTTCTTCTCTGCATCACATTAACCATTTAACAGCAGTCAAATAAACATTTCATTCCTTTGAATTTCTCTTCTTCTTCCATATCAGGCCTGTGGCCCGATGGCTCAGATGGTACCGATATCAACGCTGCCTGCAGGTCCCGTGACAAGAGACTGTTGGTTACTGGAGATGACTTTGGAAAGGTTCACCTCTTCTCATACCCCTGCTCACAATTCAGGGTAAGATATCATAGAGCAAAATATCTGCAACCCTAAACACCAAAATAGACATTTTTACTATTTTACCACAAGATAAAACCCCATTATATATGAATGTTGCCACACAATGGCCCTTTTGTTTGAATTTTTGCAACTGTGTTAATTTAAATTTCTGTCGTTTTTTTTAACATCCATAATTGTTTTGTAAATTGATCACAGGTGTAAATGCAAATGACTGTTATCTCCATATGTTGGGATCAGTTCCTGTTCCTCCCACAGCTGTTAAAAAGATGAAAGATATGTTAAAACGTAAATGAATTCATTCTGTTTTTGAATCATGTTTCTTCTCCAGGCTCCCAGCCATGCTTTCGTCGTGGGCTCTCGGGGCGCGGGCGGGTTGGTGGGGGGGGGGGGGGGGGGGGCTCCTGAGCTCTAGCTGCACCAGAGTGAACTGCACTTAACTGAACCAAACCAAACTTAAACTAACTCAGATGTTAAATCCAAGTCAACCTGACAGAGGAGGATCTTGGGGGGTTTCATTCCAGATCTGCTCTCACATCCCAACGGAGATGAAGTGGTATGAGGTGGAACTTAAAAAACAAAAAAAGACTTTTCTAATTTTTTTTCTCATTTTACACTACATGTAAAGTGTTTTTTTTTTTTTTTTTTGTGAATACTGTAGCCAATAGTCACCTAGGCAAGACAAGGTAACGGATCAAATCCAATGTAACAGAACCAAAAGCGGCGACTTTCTGACTGCATCTGTACAACCTAGCGTTTACTCTCTTCACACACACACACACACACACGCGCGTAAAATGAATAATCTCTTCCACTGCCTGTAAGAACTGTGTCAAAGTGAGTACCATTAGGCTGAAGGTCAAAGGGCATTTGGAGAACAACTGTGTACTTAAGTTAGGAGCACAGGACAATATCTCTCTTTTTATTCAAATTATTCTCAGTTAATATTTAACAACTCAGGAAAATGTCAGCAAATCAGGAAACCTGTCCCTTCAGCATCCAGAGTGGATCAACATAAAGTTCCACACACTGCATGTGATGGAAAAAAACAAAACATAAATGCGTACTCTATTTAAGAAATCAGGGTTAAAAACATTTTTCTTCCCTTTTTATTTATTGATCATGTTCACCATCCATCACAGCCAATGACGGTTCCTCTGTGTTTTATTTTCCCAAAATAACTGCAGTTGTTTCCAGATGTGTACATAAGCAGGAAGGCCTGAAGCATGTGAGTGAGAGAGTCATGGGTGAAAAATTCAATATTTGGAACTGATTGCAATTGTTTTACGCTTCCTTTATTTTGAGATGTGAGCAGATTCAGAACTACGCCTGTTTTTTTGGTTTTTTTTGTTTGTTTCACTCTTCACTTAATTGCATCCATATCTGTTCATGGAGGAGAACAATAAGACCACTACACTGTAAATGTCAATGGTTGATGTGCGGCCACGGGTTAGCATCATCAGTCTGTGGAAACAAGGTCTTTTATTGGATGGAAGTGTCTCTGTGTTTTATTTATATTCCACTGTTTGATACATGCAGTAAACTCCAAGTCCTTTATGTACATTAATGGAACAACAGATCCCGTTCCACAAGTACTCACAGGCTGCATGAATAATTTAATCATTTTTAGTGAGACATGGTGATGTTTTGAACCCTAGTGAAATGATTGATTGTTGGACTCACGTTTATCAAAAAACAACAACAACAGCAGAGACCGTAGTTGCATACATAATTTGTCCAACCATGAAACTCCTACTCTTCCAGGACTACTGAAAATCACTAGACAGTTGTACATACATACCATGTCGTAATCATTTAAAAATGTGTTAACCATGTTTCAATCTAACAATTTTAAGTCTCCCCAGTTATTATTATGTAATAAAACATACTTTAATATGTCATTAAAATTGGGATTTGGCAACAAAAACTGTAGATCTCTACAGTTTAGTCATATATATATATTTATATATATTTCAAAGAAGCTACTCATTCCTCCCTGAAATTGACTGTGAACCTCAGATATTGATTAGTTGATAAAACCTAATGATATGATCTGATGAAATATATAATCTAAATCACAGACAGGTACTAAAATGTAAGTATTTGCAGCATCTACAAGTCAAAAGCAAAGGGCAACAGACTGCATGAGAGACAGAGCAGGGACCATCTACTGTATAACTCTGTAACTTCTGCCGTTTTTATGTTAGATTTGATCAATGGAAATTTCAAGGCACCCAAATTTATGAAAACTTCACGACCTCCTGCAGTACCTTTGCAGATCCTCTAGGAGCCACGTATCCTTTGTAAAAGACCAATGTGTCACAATGCATTGTGACCGGTGGACAGCAGCGGGCTGCATATGCGAATTTCGCCCGCAAGTGGGCAGCATTGAGCCGGTCTGCTCCTTCTCTCTCCCTCCCCTTTTCCTCCACACGCCGAATTAGCATTCCCCCTCAAATCTCACCCTCGGTCTGTCGCTATCTTCCTCTCTCCTTACCAAAACACTCCGGATGGGCAGAAAAAATGTCGTGAGTGAACCGGAGGCTGACGAGCACCGTTCACCGTCTGATAGTGAGCAGCCTCGACCGGACATGGACTTGAGGAGCCGCCACGGCGACAGCGGAGAGAAGAGACAACGGAGCACAAAGCCCACGACCACCGCAGCTGCCGCTCGCCTTACCGCTTAAGAACAACACTGTAGCGTTGGTACCGAATCACAGAGATACTTCATAGAACCCCAGACTATCATATAGGACTGGGACGAACTGTCGGCTGCTTCTTAACCGGGAAAATCTGCTCCGGAGGAAAGAAAGACGGAGAAAATGAGGTAAGAAGCCACGGCCGCAGCAGCGGCAGCAGCATGCGCTTCGTTTGACGCGTCATGACAGATGCGCAGCGACGCTCAGCCTCTCTGTCTCTGCCTCCCGGCTTTTCTGCTTTTATTCATTCATTCATTAACCAACTAAGAGCAGCATCTGTTCCTTTGGAGAACATAATACACACACTGTCTGCAGGCGTGTTGTCCTTGTGTGAGAAGGGCAGTGTGTGTGGAGCCACATCCAGGGGCCCACACCCACCACCACCAACACCGCCAACACCATCCATTCATCCACCCATCCATCTATTCAGTGGACCGTTGACAATATATCATGGAAAAACAAAGCGTCCAACGCCAGTCTCTGTGTTGCTGTTACATGGTGTGGACGCTGTCATGATTGGACGCAGGTCACACATGTAAGATTCGGTGTTGGTTGGGTGTAGTTGAGTCTACCAGTCTGTCAGTGAGAAAGCTGAATAACTGATAGTACTCATGGCCATCACAGGAGGTGGAGGAGGAGGAGGAGGAAGAGGAGGTGTTTATTCTGGTGGTTGCCAGGCAGGTTATCACCCTCCTCCTCCTCTGCTCTATGATGGATTCACACATGCTTGCAGAGAATGTGTCTCATGTTAAGACCCTCATCCTGTATCTCAGTGTATAGATGTTTATAGATGGGTATTTTAAGCCCTGTCTGTCTCTCTGTCTGTCTCTCTGTCTGTCTGCTGGTATGCAGAGTGAGCCGAGACCCAGATCTTCTCCTTCAGCAGCAGCAGTAACAGACTTTCTGGATTCTGCTCTATTTATGAAACAGGCCTTTTTATATTTTCTCCTGCTGCCTGTAGTTCGACTCCCCCACGTCTGCAGCGCCGTTCTGTTTCACAGCTCCAGATTTGACAGCTCTTCTGTGATACGCTGCATTCTTCAAGTGCAGAGGCCAAATTTAAAAAAAATACACAGCAGGTCCTTGAACCTCTATCGATGCGATGCCTCTGTTTTACTCCCTGACGATTTCTCCTCTGCACTCGAAGCTCAAACAACGGAAGCCGCCAGCAGCAGCAGGACTATTTCAGACAGTCAGCATGTAAATTTAATATCTTCCAGTCATGTTGGACGAACACATGGCTGCTCCACTGCTGCATGACTTCCATCCTGTCTTCCAGTATTTTTGTGCCAGAGGCAGATCTGTCCGATCCAAAGGGAAGTCTTAAATCTCAGCAGAGCAAAAACACGCTGAGGTTTTTTTTTTAGCACAGTAAAGAAAGGGAAAAGATTTACTGTATGTCAAAGGCATCATTTGTTCAGCATCACTGAGTCTATTATGGTGTAAAAGCAGGGCTGCGTGAGCACGTGAGCGCATGTGAGTGTGAGTGCATCTGTTCATCTGACTGGTGGAACTCAAAGTCAAGTGTTTGGTTTGTCAAAGGAGACAACGTATATTTTGGCACCTTCAACCTGATCAGTACATTAACGCCGACGGATGTCAAGTCCAGGGGTGGTACAGTCTGGACGGTGTAAATCTCGGACCATGGGTAAACGTTAGCTTTCACTCAAACTAACTGAAAGCTATTTTAACATTGACCTATGAGAGTCAGAGTGTCTCGAAATAAAACCAGTACCACGTCAGGTTGATTTGTAAATTGCTGATGATGCGGTGACTCATCGTAGGAAACGCTGGAACGAGCGAGTTAAGCCACTGAAAGGTAAATTGCTGAGTTGTTTGCTGCTGCTGCTGCTGCTGCTGCTGCTGCGGCCGACTTGATCCGACCTTCAAATCCCACAGGGTTTTCACTGACAGGCATCATGTAGGAGGTGAGCTTGGATTGCTGTGAAAGTGACTCCACTAACTGCACTGGTGACAGCAGGGGGTGCTCTGGCCAAATCCAGGCTCTGTGTCTGTTGTGTTCACTGAGTGGCGTAGTATTTAACAGCAGCCTGTCACTAGGAGAGACTGACAATCTTGGACTGGACCTTGTTGAGTTATGCTGTATTAGGATTTAGGTCGGTGCCAGCAGAGTTGTTACAGAGGTCACAGCACATGCTAAAAGGTCACCTGTCGGTTCACAAAGACAACCATCAAAACTAAAGTCCGGCTAGTCCAGAGGTGGTCGGATGGTGGACCCGGAGATGTACCGACCGGGCCGGCTGTGGTCCGGCTTGGCTGGATATTCAGGTTAACGGAGGTGTACAAGAGGAACAATCTGAGAAAAATTGTTCTTCAAATCCAGTTTACCTTTTCAGTGGTAAAAAATAAAACATTTTTAAGACAAACCCAAAACGGTCTACGAGAAGAAATTTCACTCCAGGTTTTTTTTTTTTTTGGCAGCTCCTGCTCCTTGTAGATCTCTTGAAAATACAGCAATTTCTCTTTAAAGCCAGAAGTTTCTTTTAGGACTAAGTCCAGGAGGTTCACCATTGGTCCAAAACCAATAACAACTTATACTTATATTTATACTTAAACTTATATTTTCTGATGATTTTTCATGAAGTGGTCCTATTAAAATACAACAGACAATTATCATAGGAAAAGAATTTTACTACGAAAAGCATTCTGGAGTCCATTCTCTCCAGAACACGTCTCAAGAGTGCCCCTAGTGGACTATACAAAGTAAAAATAATAAATCAGTTATTCATTTAATTCCCAATTCAAGATTAAAAAAAGTCTTAATAATCTGTCTCTAAAGTAAATAAGTCCTGCACTCTGCTGAGATTTTCTCCAGCCTCACCTTGACCCTGGTTTTCTGCTCTGTGGTTAAAGATTCAATAAGAAGCTGATCATCATCTCTTCTTCTTCTTCTCCCTGTGTGTGCGTGGGTTCTTGTCAGGCTACTCCATTTTCCTCCCACAGCCCAAAAACATGTTCATTAGGTCTAATGAGCCCAATTATGGTAATAACATGTCTGACAAACTCCAGTAACTAATGACTTCAGTCAGTATAGTTTTTCATCTCCATACCTTCTATCTGTATCCACACAGTCGACCATACATGGTCTCACACCTGACGGTCATTCTCAGTCAGATCAAAGACATTAATCACAGGCCTCCAGTCATCTGAGATGTGAGAATTAATCTGCACCCTACGCCCTTTGACTATATGGAGGTCAAACGGGCTGGTATCATATGACCCTTACATCCTGTAAAAAGCTTTTACAGCCCAGACAGACATTTTTACTTCCACCTTTCACGCTGCTGGTTTTGATGCAGTATCCTACACTTGTACTTCATTTGAAATAGTTTTGCACTGTGTATTCATCTTTTGAATTTAGCTCACTATTCTCATAAATATGGCTGTCAAACAGTTACAATTTTTTGACAAAAATCTTTTTTGTGTACATTGCTGGAACATAAAGATGTATGTTTGTGGTTTTTTACTAATCCCAATAATGGAATTATTATTAATATGAAATTATATAAAACATGTCAAAATGATTCTTCTTATTACTAATAAATAATTTAATGCCAATTCGTGCTTAATGTTTGTCTTATTACTAATAAATAATTTAATGCCGATTCGTGCTTAATGTTGGTAGAAAAAATATCTTCATTGTCTCCAAGTGTCGCAGCTCCATTTTTAACCCTCAAGGTCTGTTGCGTGTAGAATTTCCAAGCCCCCAAAGCCTTCTAATCTTTTTGAAGACTAGATTGCTCTTTGTTTCCAACGCTACAGCTTGCTGTGGTAAAGAGGCTTAACAGTCTGAGGTTTCCTTCAGCCAGATGAACCAGTAACAACTTATTGAAAAGCCACAAGGAAACAATTTGGATGAATAAAACCTTTGTTGACGAAAAGTAAATAAATCATTTTACCAGTTCACGCTATTTTTTTACTCGACGTTTGAGAATTATTTACCGTAATCTTCAAGTGTTTCTTCCCCCGCTCTGTAGTTATCTGCAGTTAAGGGGATTTGACTAACAAGCTTTTTGTTTAAGAACGTCCATTTTCTGTTGAATGTATTTGAAGCTCCACCCAAGTGACTTTTAAATGCCATGCAGTTTCACATCCAGGCAACCGTGTAATTTCAAGTGGATTTGATCCTTTGGAGGTTGAAAGACGGCACTGAAATTGTTAAAACAGAGGAGGGGACTGGTCTAGGCTGGCGACATGTTCTCTCTCTCTCTCTCTCTCTCTCTCCCCTATACTCTCTACCTCCCACTCTCTCTCCCTCTGTCTTACTGTAAGTCATCTCAGTGTGCATTGTGGGATCTTTAAACAGTTTCATGAGAATGTAAAGACAGTGCTGGGAACGAGGTTGCGTTGTCCTGACTGTTGGACAGCATGACCGCTACTCTCTGCTCTTCTGCCGACACTTCATCCTCTCATCCCTAATCTCTCGTCTTTTACGCCAGCCGTTCATCCTTTCCTTGGGGACGGTGCTGCGTCTTCAGCAACATGTATTCGCTGGATGATTTTGGGTGAGAGAACACCAGGACTTTTCAAAACTGTCATCTTTTTCTCTCCCACAGTTTGCCTGAGCCTCGCAGTTGTTTGTGTAAAACTGCCTTTGGAATGTGCGGTAATGCTGAATGTGTTTTTCCCCTCCGCTACTCGCTGTTTTTTGGACCAGCCCTCCTTCCAGACCACAGCATTTTGCGGTTTGTCTGTGTATTTGTGCGTTTGTTTCCTCCAAGTCATGTTGTCCAACTTTTACTTGCTGTTGAATTATGAATCTGGCTCAGCCTGAGAGAACGAGTGGGAGAGGAAAGTCTTTTCCTAGAGTTGCTGACTACCTCTGGTCTGTCTCTGTCGTCCCAGCCCCTCTGTCTGTTCTACTACATCCAGCTGTTGGCCTGATTGGTTCCTCTTTAACAATCTGTCATTGGTTTATTTTTTTATCTCTCCCAGGGAAGAGGGAATATTTTTTTTGTTTGCACTCTGTCAGGGTCTCTGCTCAGCTGCTCTCGCCCATTCAAAAAATTGATCCCATCTGACTTTTTGCTTGTGTCTGAATGCGTGAGAAACACAGGACGAAAAGCCAGGAAAGCAGGGATGTAGAGGATTGTAATCTCTGAAAGGC